AAAAACTCAAAACTTTGCCGTTACTCTAAAAACAGCTTATATTGAAACCAATCTGCCAAAACAACAGCTTGTGGAATGTGCCACTTTATGACGTAATAGTGTGGATAAGCAGAGGAAGATCAACGCCTGCTTCTACATCACTACCTGTTTAGCCCCGCCCACCGATTCTACATCACTGCCTGTTTAGCCCTGCCCACCGATTCTACATCACTGCCTGTTTAGCCCCGCCCACCGATTGACACACGTAGTGTAAATAACAAGAGAGGAAAATTCAGGCCTACCCCGAAACTAAACAATAAAGATGTCTCCGAAGACAACAAGACACTGTGCAGACAGTGCCAAGTTGTGGAAAAACAGTCTTTGCATTGCCTTCCTTCTGATCGCAACTTTAGGAAAGAGTGGATGAACTTTATTTTTAATGAAGATCCAGACCACGTCAGTAAGATAATAGCCTATTATTTCTAAATGATGTTTTTTTTTATGTAGAAATCTTGATAACATTATAAGGGGACCTCAGAGAACTGTACAAAATAATTAAAAAAGCAGTTCATGACCCCTTTAATGCATACATCTAAACTGTGCAATCTTGGTATTGCATCACTTCCCTTGTTACTTTACCCTTAGGATGATTCTTCATTTGTTTATTTGCATTATGCATCTGCTAAATGAATAACTGTAAATGTATATTTGTCATTGCTGTTGTACGCTAATGTGTTTCATAGTTTGTAATCATACAGCGTGCTGCATTTATGGGGTTTATGAATCATTGATGAGATCATTAAATAAGTATTATGAATGTGATGTTCAGTCATTATAGTGCCTTATTAGTAATTTAAAAGAAGTGCATAGTGATGAAAATGTTTTGCATGATAAGAGTGAGCACAAAGCAGGCATTAGTCTCTTGTGTTAGAGAGCAATGTTTAGTGCAGTGCAGATCACTGATGTAGTAACCGCTGATCATTCCCTAAACAGCAGACGAAGATGCCAAGTCCAATTTTGTCGAGATTTTATTTCCTCAAAAATAAGAGTTTAATCGATTCCTATCAGATTAGTAGCAGATTGCGTGTCAATATCTGCTCTTTTGTTCATCTGCTGCTGCTTCGGTCAATTTTATTGTCTGCACACAAAAAGGAAACAAATAAAACCTGTGGCTAATGCATTTCTTATTAGTATTGATTGTATTTTTACTGCGCTTTGATTATGACTGGCTGTGATGTAGATCTGCTATTGGTTATCGACTCTAGTGTGTGTTGCATAAACGTCATTTGTGCAAGGTCACATTGCTCACCAACAGATGGTAGTTGAATATGTTTACACAAATATATTTAAAACATTAAACAAACAACAAATGCATTCAATGGGTGTAGCTTTTTAGTCTTCTGAAAAGGGAAACTGTTTCTTCTGGTCCTTTATCCATAATATTGATTTCTCCAGTGAAAAAGTCATCTTGTCTGAATCTGGAGAGAAATTTGCACAAAATATGACAATATTTTGAAAATATGAAATATGCATCAAGCACTGGTTACAAGCAAAAACAGTGCAAAACCATTCAAAGAGTCTTGGTAAAATATTTTGCAAGAGGCCTTAGATTTCTGCATATTTCAAGTGAATAGAAAAGGTTTTATCAAAAGATTGTGGGAATTCTTTTAGTGTACTTGAGCTAAATAATGAGGTCTAAACATGCAATGTTCTTTAAAGGGGTCATATGATGCGATTTAAATTTTTCCTATCTCTTTGGAGTGTTACAAGCTCTTGGTGCATAAAGAAGATCTGTAAAGTTGCAAAGACTAAAGTCTTTTTAATATCTATTCTTTATAAGAGATATTCTTTATAAAAGTTCAGAGTCAACCTGGGAAGATTTGCTTAACACTGCCCAAATGTTCACCAAAGAAAGAAGGCGTAACTTTTATTCTCGCTGTAGTATTGTTGTTGCCGCCGCCGCCATGTCGTGAAGGTGCTGTGTGTTTAGTTGTGAAAGCGAAACTACTTTGTTTGGCCTTCCAAAAGAGGACGATATCTGCTTCGTCATGCCTGGAGCTGATCTGTGCTGGTCGTTGAGGAAATACATCAACTTCGCACTGTGGATTACCGGATCGGCTTTCACCGTGGACGAAGCGGAGTCCAGCCCGGGGGCAATACATGTGGTTGCCGCAAGCCCGCCGGACGCTCCTTCGTCAAATCCGCCGGCCGTGCCATTCTCAAGCCCGCCCGCCTCTACTCACTCTAGCCCGCCGTGTGTGACGCTGTGTTTCGTTGTGAAAGTGAAACTACTTTGTTTGGCCTTCCAAAAGAGGACATGACTAAAAATCAGTGGTTAAGTTGTATTTACAACACTGTTCCAGAACAGTTCAACCCAAATATTCAGATTCACTCAATGTACAGAACATTTCTCATTTATCACAGTGCATTTGAGCGCCAAATTCAATATGTGATGCTTCACCAAGTCTTGACGAGGAGGCATGAGGCTGGATATCAATATGATGATATAGCGCTATTCCAAACAAACTTAATGACCTGTCTCATTTGTATGATATTGCATTAGTTTTCTGGTGCAAAACCACTAGTTTGTAGTACAAAGCCAACAATGTGCATGGAAAAATCTACGTAAATTTGAACGTAAAGCCAGCAACACTTGTGGAATAGAGAAACCAAAGAATAAAAAGCTGCTATAGATAATCACACCTTTATTATGCCAATGTATTTCAGCACATCAGGGCTAAAAAAATCCATTCGAATCAAAGAAAGAGAAAGTTCAAATTTGCAGTCGACCAGTAGGGAAATCAAAACAAGTTCTCTGAATTCTCTGTTCCACAAGTGTTGTTGGCTTTGTGTTCAATAAGTGTGACATTGTATTAAACAGGGTTGTATTCTTTGTGATTATATATATTCTTTTGAGTGTATTTCTTCTTTTGAGTCTTTTATATATTTTGAAGCATCCCATCAATGCTCGCTTCTTCAACACAGCACTTTTCCGTTTTTCCCATGGCCACCACCAAGATCACGATGCATGGTGCAGCAGACTTCGGAGACAAATTGAAATTGATTGAAATCAGCTATAGATAATCACACCTTTATTATGCCAATGTATTTCAGCACATCAGGGCTAAAAAAAATCCATTCGAATCAAAGAAAGAGAAAGTTCAAATTTGCAGTCGACCAGTAGGGAAATCAAAACAAGTTCTCTGAATTCTCTGTTCCACAAGTGTTGTTGGCTTTGTGTTCAATAAGTGTGACATTGTATTAAACAGGGTTGTATTCTTTGTGATTATATATATTCTTTTGAGTGTATTTCTTCTTTTGAGTCTTTTATATATTTTGAAGCATCCCATCAATGCTCGCTTCTTCAACACAGCACTTTTCCGTTTTTCCCATGGCCACCACCAAGATCACGATGCATGGTGCAGCAGACTTCGGAGACAAATTGAAATTGATTGAAATCTACTTTAATAATGATACAAACGTCTAATCTGAGCGGTCTCATTGGGAACCGTAGCACATTCTAGCTGTGTCAGCATGTTTTGGATAATCCCTGCATTCATCAAGCCCACCAGCCCTTTCAGGACTTCGGTGAGGTCCGGTCTTTAAGCGGACATGCTGTTGGGTCTCATTTGGGAACGGTAATTAGTTTTCACTCAAGGACGCAGGCAACAGTAACTGTGGCAACCGCATTAGAAATTAAATGTGTCTGCTCAGAGATTATCTCTGATAACCAGCTAGCTCTGAGGGATTTTCTACATAGTCTATTCAGTCCTTTTCTGGAACCGTCTCATTTGAAAGGAGATGAAAAGCTGATAAATAAGTTTCATTTTTCAGTGTTTGCTACTGAGTTTGGAACCAAAACCAGTTCTTGACAAGCTAATTAAAAACAACACTTTCAATATGGTGCATAAAACAAGACAAATCCATCAGAGAATACATCAAACATTTGTGAAACTAAGGCAAACATCTATGCTGTATTCTGATAAAAGGAGACGAGAATAAAAGAGTCATAAAACCCAGAAACAAGCACTTCTGGCTCCATCGTCTCAAAGTCAGTGGGTTTCTTGTGGCTAACACAAGCTCAAGATATTTTCACGTTTATTCTACAACATAAAATCCATCAGTAATACATGAAAAAGGCATTCACTAGACTGCTTTTACAGCCTTGTTGTGTTTATACTCTTTCAAACTATCCTCTCAAACTTTTTGGGGAAATGTTTTTTAAATTATGATTACATTTGAAGCTTAATGGTAGTGGCGTTAAAGTGGTGCAACCGTGGTGTAATTCATTTACAGCCTGCGTTTAGCTCATTGCATCTGCTGATTGTATTTTTAGGCTTCAAAATTCATAGGAGTTGTGTTCATTTCTGAAGATTATCTTGATGGAAAAAAAAGTAAGAATCAGAAACGTTTATTAGTCACAGAGCTTTTTTTTTTTTTGCAAAAATCCAAGTCCTATTATCGCACTATAGTATTACAGTTAATGTTTATAATGTGTTAATATTAGTGCTGTCAAACGATTAATCGCATCCAAAATAAATGTTTTTGTTTACATAATATATGTATGTGTACTGTGTATATTTGTTATGTATATATAAATACACACCCATACAGTATATATTTTGAAAATATTTACCTGTATTTACATGTATATATTTATATTCAAATAATTTATATTATATATAAATATAATTAATATATAAACATAACATTTCTCTTAAATATATACGTGCATGTGTGTGTATTTATATATATATATATATACATAATAAATATACACAGTACACACACATATTACGTAAACAAAAACTTTTATTTTCGGTGCGATTAATCGTTTGACAGCACTAGTTAATATATTAACAAGCTGGAAGTTAAAGATGAAAATTTACGTTTTTTGGTGTTTAGTCTGTATTGTGGCTTTGAGGCTAATTGATGTACTCTCTTTGAATATTCCCTTAAAAGTTGTCAATAAACTTTTTAGCAAATATATGCATTTGAAATTTACAGTATTTCTTTTACAGAAAAATGATCCAAAAGTACGGATGACTAATGGCTAATCTGAGATGAAACGTCAACCACAACAGCATTTCACGCTTCTAGAAGCCCAGCGAAAAATCTGTCACCGGTAAACATTTACTGTGATATAATGAAATATTTGTGATTTATGTTGCATGCAAAAAAAATTTTTTTTTTCTGAATATGACCACTTTTGAATAACTGTTATTGGAGAAATGCTTTTTGCCTGCATCATGTACGGGGAAGTCGTGGCCTAATGGTTAGAGAGTCGGACTCGTAACCCAAAGGTTACGAAGGCAGGGATTGTAGGTGGGGGGAGTGAATGTACAGCGCTCTCTTCCACCTTCAATACCCCGACTGAGGTGCCCTTGATCAAGGCACCGAACCCCCAACTGCTCCCCGGGAGCCGCAGCATTAATGGCTGCCCACTGCTCCGGGTGTGTGTTCACGGGGTGTGTGTGTTCACTGCTGTGAGTGTGCACTTTGGATGGGTTAAATGCAGAGCACTAATTGCTAGTATGGGTATTCATACTTGGCCACATGTCACGTCACTCACTCATTCATGGTTTAGGTACAACATCTGCCAAAAGAGGCAAACCTTGACCCAATTTTGGCTAGTTGATGTAGACTGTTAAAAAAAAACATAGGACATTATCTATTTCATGGAAATTTCCTTTAATCCTAAAACACAACACAAAGCAGTAATTCAGAGCAATGCGTAAAAATAAATGTGGAAAATTCCTTCATATTAACACATGTATTAGTAGTGCCCTATTTTTACTGTCTTTTCGAAGTGCTAAAGTTCGACATAACTTTATATTTCAATAGAAAATGTATCCACATAGGAAAGACAGTTGCATTCAGTAAACTGTTTAATGAGGTCTTTACAGTTCCGCTGGTTTTGCTAAAAAGCATTCAGCATTAAACAAGCACCAGCTGTTCATGTCAGTTGCACAAATGGTTTGTGATGAGTTATACTTTAGGATTAAAAGTTTGAACAGAGAAACAGCATAACTATGAGCATGCAGTAATAGTGATGATTTCCCTTTGAACCATATATTGATAGGCCTCTCAAACACAGCATATAATTTAGTATAATTATGTCTAGAGATTTTAATTGACTAGCATTCAGTTTTGAGAGTTATTAGTTAATATAAATGCAAATGCATAGCAATCCCTTTGAAAAAAATCTACCATGGCAGCCTAGTTTTTAGCAAAATACCATAGTTAGTCCAGTTCAAATTAAAATAGAAAATTTGTTCAAAATGACACTTTAAAGGAATAGTTCACCCAAAAATGAAAATTTGCTGAAAATGTACTCACCCTCAGGCCGTGCAAGATGTAGATGAGTTTGTTGCTTCGTCGAAACAGATTTAAAGATGTTTAGTGTTACATCACTTGCTCACCACTGGATGCTCTGCAGTGAATGGGTGCCGTCAGAATGAGAGTCCAAACAGCTGATAAAAACATCACAATAATCCCAGCATATAATTTAGTATAATTATGTCTAAAGATTTTAATTGACTAGCATTCAGTTTTGAGAGTTATTAGTTAATATAAATGCAAATGCATAGCAATCCCTTTGAAAAAAATGTACCATGGCAGCCTAGTTTTTAGCAAAATACCATAGTTAGTCCAGTTCAAATTAAAATAGAAAATTTGTTCAAAATGACACTTTAAAGGAATAGTTCACCCAAAAATGAAAATTTGCTGAAAATGTACTCACCCTCAGGCCGTGCAAGATGTAGATGAGTTTGTTGCTTCGTCGAAACAGATTTAAAGATGTTTAGTGTTACATCACTTGCTCACCACTGGATGCTCTGCAGTGAATGGGTGCCGTCAGAATGAGAGTCCAAACAGCTGATAAAAACATCACAATAATCCACAAGTAACCCACACCACTCCAGTCCATCAGTTAAAGTCTTATGACGCAAAAGGATGCATGTTTGTAATAAACAAATCCATCATTAAGACATTTCTTAGCTTCTTTTTGCTTGTAAACAACACTTGATATGTGCATATTTTGCTCCTGATTCAGACTAGACTACTTTTTCAATGGAGAAAGCAATATTATGGATTATGGACTCTTTTATTATATTATATTTTCTATATTTAAGCCGGAAGCAGAGGTTTGAAGTTAAAAACATCGTTATGATGGAATTGTTTTTTTTACAAATACACAACTTTTCACTTCACAAGACATTAATTGCTGGACTGGAGTGGTGTGGATTACTTGTGGATTATTGTGATGTTTTTATCAGCTGTTTGGACTCTCATTCTGACGGCACCCATTCACTGCAGAGCATCCATTGGTGAGCAAATTATGTAATGCTACATTTCTCCAAATCTGTTCTGATGAAGAAACAAACTCATCTACATCTTGGATGGCCTGAGAGTACATTTTCAGCAAATTTGGATGAACTATTTCTTTAAGCAAGTATACGTGAACACTGCAAACACTGCTAGTAATGAAATATGTCAGCCTGCAATTCGTAATACAACCCTAAGCATCTAAAGCAAGTATTAGCATAAACTACGTTCAGTTTTCTCTTTCAGAACAACTGTCTGAAGAGAATCAAGTAAGTTAAAGTTAAACTGTCAACATTTTTATTGCTACAGTACAGACAGGTACCTGAATAATAGAACATTATGGCACAGATATTGTTACCAGCATAGTGATGCAAGACAGCATGTGAGTGTATTTATTGCACACTTGCAGTCCACATAACTGATTTTGCACTTGCATCCCAAATGTTTCTGACCTCAGTTGAGTTTGTTGTTTTGTACCCATATGTTTTGGTGATTAAATGGTCTCTAAAAAGATAATTTGGTGCTGTGATTAACAACTCAGCCATTGAGGGTGCTAGGCTGTCGAAGCTGGGATGGGAGATAACGCCAGTGTGTGTGAGGCAGAAACTGCAGTGCCACTCAGGCCTGACATGAAGAACAACTCAATTTACGAGTGACTAGAGGGGAAAATACTCTCTTGGACCTCTTTGAACTGTCTTGTGTTTGAGCCTTTGTTGAGTTATGTTGCATTGTGCCCAAAATGGAAGCTAGCAGCTAATAATATCATTTATCATGGCATGGGATGGGAATTGTAAGGAATTTAGCCATTATCATTCCATTTCAAATGACACTTTTACACTTTTTTTTAAACACGATTCCTTATAATGATTCCGTTATCAGTTATTTTTTTTATTTTGAAGAAACCACCCTAATAATTAGTTCTAACTGTAAACTAAACAAAAACAAATTCTGCAAAAACTACTTTTTAATATAATTTTATAATTAACTATAAATATAAAATTAATTAATAATGCATTAATAATAGTGCTGTCAAAAGATTAATCGCATCCAAAATAAAAGTTTTGTTTACATAATATATGTGTGTGTACTGTGTATATTTATTATGTATACAGTGGGTACGGAAAGTATTCAGACCCCCTTAAATTTTTCACTCTTTGTTATATTGCAGCCATTTGCTAAAATCATTTAAGTTCTGTCTCTGAGCTCTTCAGGCAGTTCCTTTGACCTCATGATTCTCATTTGCTCTGACATGCACTGTGAGCTGTAAGGTCTTATATAGACAGGGGTGTGGGTTTCCTAATCAAGTCCAATCAGTATAATCAAACACAGCTGGACTCAAATGAAGGTGTAGAACCATCTCAAGGATGCTCAGAAGAAATGGACAGCACCTGAGTTAAATATATGAGTGTCACAGCAAAGGGTCTGAATACTTAGGACCATGTGATATTTCAGTTTTTCTTTTTTAATAAATCTGCAAAAATGTCAACAATTCTGTGTTTTTCTGTCAATATGGGGTGCTGTGTGTACATGAATGAGGAAAAAAATTAACTTAAATGATTTTAGCAAATGGCTGCAATATAACAAAGAGTGAAAAATGTAAGGGGGTCTGAATACTTTCCGTACCCACTGTATATAAAAGCACACACATACAGCATATATTTTGAAAATACTTACATGTATTTACATATACTGAACAAAATTATAAATGCAACACTTTTGTTTTTGCCCCCATTTTTCATGAGCTGAACTCAAAGATCTAAGACTTTTTCTATGTACACAAAAAGCCTATTTCTCTCAAATACTGTTCACAAATCTGCCTAAATCTGTGTTAGTGAGCACTTCTCCTTTGCCGAGATAATCCATCCACCTCACAGGTGTGGCATATCAAGATGCTGATTAGACAGCATGATTAATAATGAATATAAACATAAAAATAAATATTTATTTATGAATTTATTTACTTGTTTTTCAGTAAAATCTGCAAATCCTTAACATAAGATACATTTATTTGAGCAGCAACACTGCATAAAATATCAAGACTTGTTTTTTTATAGATTTAATGTTGAATTTAAGTCTATTTTGTCTTATTGCACTTGCAGATTTTTATACTCATTTTTTATTCATTTTTTTAATTAAACAAGAGTAAAAAGATATCGCATTGACAAAAAACACTCATTAAATCTTTGAAAAAAGTATTAATATCTAAGATAAGATAATACATCAAATAAAGTAATATATTCAGACGATTTACAGATATTACTGTAAAAACTAAAATTACTGGATGTAAAAAATTTAATTAATTAATAATGAAAAATAATGGATAACAAATGAAAAGCTATTGATAATGTTTTAATTAATACATTAATAATACATTTTATAAATGTATAGTTCAGTCATGAAACTCTAGATGGCGCATTCTGACGGGGTGTTTAACGTAAATGATGATATTCAGAGAGTTAAACGACTTAACGAGTTAAACGGCACAAGCTGATTGGTTCATGCTGCATATGCAGCCAATGAGCGTACTGCCTTGCATTTATATGGCTGGCTAGCATTCACTTGAAATTCCTGCAGCATCTTTAGTGTTCTCTGAAACCCTCCACCTTCCCCAGCTCCACCTGTATAGATCTGCTATGGGGTTATTTTATATGCTATTTGTGCAGCAGCAACATGTCTTAAATACTCACGGCACCGTATCGCCATATGCATTGGCAGTAGCAAGTTCCTGTACTTGCTTGCAGCAGCAATAATCTACAACTACAGCAATAACCAACAGCAGCAGCAATT